CCCTACCCAGAACTCGGTCATTGTGCGTTCAATCATCACGGTTGCAAACAACACACCGCGTTCTCTCCTTTCCCGTACACCATCGGTGTGCTACTTTCCTAGACGGTAATGTTTGAAGTATAATCTTTTCTCTCAGTTCTTATACCTTTCAATTATGAGCTCATTTTTTTACCTGAGACGTAACGAGACGTCTGCGAAATTTGGAAGGCGGAGCATTCCGAAGTGACTTTGACGGGTGCTTCTCCGTTGTCGCCGATAATTCTCAGACTTTGCCCTATTCATCTGGGAGTAGATAGGCTGCTACTGTTGTAGCTGGTGCTACTTCTCCTGCCGGTGCTGGTTCTACTACTAGAGTTCACACTGTTGTTGCCGGTACTGTTGTGAGCACGACCCCATCCCCCCCCACCCTACGTCTTGGTGGCGTTTCATATTCGATGTTCACTATTGCCTACCATATAATGATGGATATTGCAACATCGTTACATATGCTTAACGGCGATGATATTGTTCACCCTAATCATCACAGGTATATTACCTGAGAAAAAAACTGGTCTAGTTTTCCATAAACGGCATCCTTATTTGATACGTGTTTAGTGGTCCGATTTCGAAGACGATCAGTTTGATTCGGAATAAACTGGACGTGGCTTTGTCGACATCCTCCCTCTATCCAACCCGTGAAGAAGTCCGACAGTGGAGGATGAGCTTTGAGTCGTTGCTAAATCACAAATGTGAGCTTTCTTCCATTCTTTTTATTGAAATTATTGATTAATTTTATCGTTTTTAATCTTTTCTTTTGCAGACGGCTGCACGTTGTTCCGCGAGTTTTTGAAAAAGGAGTTCTCCGATGAGAATGTTGACTTTTGGCTTGAATGTGAAGAGTTCAAAAAGATGAAGGAAGGTAAAAAAGCCACAATTCAACGGGCACACGAGATTTTCAAGGAATACGTCGCTGCTGCTGCTCCTAAAGAGGTAAGCTCATCGTTTCGCTAGTACCTAAAGTTGAAATTTCGTACATGGCGTCACTTTTCCATGACATGCGCTATCTGTAGACTTGTCGTTATCGCAGGCGCGTGAGCTTTTACTAACGAACCAAAGAGTGGGTTGCACGTGAACCAACACAGACAGTGGGTCACACCCATCGTCAGATCAGTATTTCTAACGAAAAAACATTACATGGTCGCCATCTATCAACCCTAAGCCAGAATGCGCCATGAAGCCGGAGTCATAGAGTAATTTGGATGTGTGTGGGAATGATATGGTCGAGGTAGACGAAGGATTCGTTATAATTCGCTGCATAATGACTAAAAGTTCAAGAAAAAAGGCGAGAGGGCGACCAACTAACTAGCACTCTTCTACCCTCGCTTGAATGCCGCTGGCAAATGCATTGGCCCAGATAATATTCAATCGTTTATGTTATCTTCCCACAAGCTCGCAAGCGGTGCTGCTTATCATGCGCGCGATCCCGGGATCGAATCCTGGGTCGTAGTCGCCCAGGCCAACCAAGCCTTCCATCCCTCCGGGGTCGGTTAATTGGTACCAGACTTGTCTGGGAGGATAAAACACTGACTTGTACATCGGCTGGCCCCCGCAAGTCATTGTATAGGCCACATCGCATTCAAACGCCACTACGAATGTACAAATGGAAGTGAA